AAATGGATGAAAGTAGCTATAAAGAACTTTTCACACTCAACACCCCAAAAATAAATAATCCAGTTAAGAAATGGGCAGAAGACATGAAGACATCTTTCCAAAGAAGACAACCAAATGGCTAAGAGACACAAGAAAAGAGGTTCAACATCACTCATCATCAAGAAAATACAAATCAGAACCACAATAAGATACTACCTCAACCCTGTCAGAATGGCTACAATTAACAACACGGGAGACAAAAGATGTCAGCCAGGATGCAGAGAAAGGGGAACCCTCTTGCATTGTTGGCATGAACGCAAACTGGTTCAGCCACTCTGGAAAACAGTATGGAAGTTCCTCAAACAGTTAAAAATATAACTACCCTATAACCCAGCAATTGTACTACTACTAGGTATTTACCCAAAGGATACAAAAATATAGATTCAAGGGGACACATGTACTCTGATATTTTTAGCAACATTATCAACAATAGCCACAGTATGGAAAGAGCCCAAATGTCCATCAACTGATGAATGGATAAATTCATGGTGGTATATATACATATGCAATAGAATATTAATAATCCATCAAAAAAGAATGAAATTTTGCCATTTGCAATGACATGGATGGAGCTAGAGAGTATTATACTAAGCAAAATAAGTCAGTCTGAGAAAGATAAATACCATATGATTTCACTCATATGTGGAATTTAAGAAACAAAACTGATGAGCATAGGGGAAGGGGAGGGGAAGAGAGGGATGCAAACCATGAGAAACTCTTAACTATAGAGAACAAAATGAGGGTTGATGGAGGGACATGGGTGGAGCATGGGCTAAAAGAATGATAGGTATTAAGGAGGGCACTTGTTGTGATGAACACTAGGTGTTATACATAAGTGATGAATAACTAAATTCTAAACCTGAAACCAATTTTACCATATATGTTACCTAGAATTTAAATAAAAACTTGAAATAAAAAATGGATTAAGGTATAAGTTGTATGAAAATTGAAAAAAACTCAACATCACTCACTATCTGGCAAATACAAGTCAAAACCACTTTAAAAGTGGTCCACTTTCTTATACCATAGACGTAAATAAATTCAAAATGGATGAAAGACCTAAATGTGAGACAGTAAACCATCAGAATCCTAGAGAAGAACACAGGTAGCACCTTCATGACCTCGGCTGCAGTCCTCGAGGACCTCTTACTTGACATGTGTCCAGGGGCAAGAGAAACTACAGCAAAAATGAACTATTAGAACTTCATGAAGATAAAAAGCTTCTGCACAGTAAAGGAAACAACCAACAAAACTAAAAGGCAACCAACAGAATGGGAGAAGCTATTTGTAAATGACATATCTGATAGACTTTGTATCCAAAATATAAAAGAACTTATCAAACTCAACATCCCAAAAACAAATAGTCCAGTTACTAAATGGGCAGAAAACATGAATAGACATTTTTCCAAAGAAAACATCCAGATGGACAACAGACACAATAAAAGGGGCTCATCATCACTCATAATCAGGGAAATACAAATCAAAACCATAATCACCTTCCACCTGTCAGAATGTCTAAAATTAACAACACAGGAATAACAGATATTGGCAAGGATGTGGAGAAAGGGGAACCCTCTTACACTATTGGTGAGAATGCAAACTGTTGCAGCCACTCTGGAGAACAGTATGGAGGTTCCTCAAAAAGTAATGAAGCTGTCCTACAATCCAACAATTGCATTACTAGGTATTTACCAAAAGTTATAAAAATACAGATTCAAAGGGACACATGCACTCCTATGTTTATAGCAGCATTATCAACAGTAGCAAAATTATGGAAAGAACCCAAATGTCCATCAACTGAAGAATGGATAAAGAAGACGTGATACACACACACACACACACACACACACACACACAATGGAATACTACTCAACCATAAACAAGAATGAAATGTTGCCATTTGCAACAACATAGATGGAGCTAGAGTGTATTATGCTAAGCAAAGTAAGTCAGTCAGAGAAAAACAAATACCATATGATTTCACTTATATGTGGAATTTAAGAAACAAAACAGATGAACATGGTGGGGGGGGAGGAGCGAGGGAAACCATAAAATAGTTAAGAGCTATAAAGAACAAACAGGCTAGATGGAGGGACGTGGTGGGGGAGTCAGGTTAAATGGGTGATGGGTATTAGGAGGGCACTTGTGATGAGCCCTGGGTATTGTATGTAAGTGATAAATCACTAAATTATATTCCTGAAACTAATATTACATTATATGTTAACTAACTGGAATTTAAATGAAAACTTGAAATAATAAAAAAGAACACAATGAAGTGTCACAACTGTCAGAATGGCTAAAATTAAAAACACAAGAAACAATTGTTAGTAAGGATGTGGAAAAAAAGGGAAGCCTCATGCTCTGTTGGTGGGAATACAAACTGGTGCAGCCATGTAGAAAACAGTATGGATGTTCCTCAAAAAATTAGAAATAGAACTACTATATGATCCAGTAATCACACTACTGGGTATTTGCCAAAGAATATGAAAACACTAATTTGAAAGTATACATGCACCCATGTGTTTGTATCAGCATTCCTTACCATAGCCAAAGTATGGAAGCAGCCCAAATGTCCATCAATAGATAAATGGATAAAGAAGATATATTATATATATCAGTGGAATATTATTCATCCATAAAAAATGAAATCTTGCCATTTGCAATAACATGGGTGGAGCTAGAGTATAATGCTAAGCAAAATAAGCCAGTCAGAGAAAGACAAATATCACATGGTCTCACTTATATGTGGAATTTTTCAAAGCTTATTTTGAGAGAGAGAGAAAAACAGCACATGCACAAGGTGATGGAGTGGCAGAGAAAGAGGGAGAGAATTCCAAGCAGAGTCAGCACAGAGCCCAACGCAGGGCTTGATTTCATGAACTTCGAGATCATGACCTGAACTAGAATCAAGAGTCAGATTCTTAAATGACTGAGCCACTCAGGCACCCCTCATATGTAGAATTTAGGAAACAAAACAAACAAAGGAAAAAAAGAAACAAACCAAAAAACAGACTCTTAACTAAAGAGAACAAACTAATGGTTACCAGAGGGAAGGTGGGTGAGGGGTTGGGTGAGATATACAGAGAAGATATATAGAGAGAATTAAGAGTATGTTTATCATGATGAGCACTGAGTAATGTATAGAATTGTTGAATCACTATATTGTACACCTGAAGGTAATTTAACACTGTATATTAACTATACTGGAATTAAGATAAAATTTTTTAAAAGAAAACTGAAAAAATACAAACCATACATTGCTATTTTACTTTTCTCTCAGTTTTCCTCTTCTTCTTTTTTTTTCCTTCTTTTTCTATCTAAGACAAAGTTAGTTTGTATCTTAAATAAGCAAACAACTATAGTATTGATTATGACTAGTAGTTTTAGAGATATTCTTTACAAAATGGAGATTCTGGCTGCCCTTGGACATTTGAAGAGCCAGGATAGAAACAAAGAATAAATGGGGAAAATGAGTAGAAGACCTGAAGAGACATTTTTCCAAAGAAGACATACAGATGGCCAACAGACATACGAAAATATATTCAACATTACAAATCATCAGGGAAATAGAAATCAAAATCACAATCAGATATCACCTGATACCTGTCAGAATGGCTATGATCAAAAAGACAAGAAATAACAAGTGTTGGTGAGGATGTGGAAAAGAGAGAACCATTGTGCATTGTTGGTGTGAATGTAAATTGTACAGTCACTACAGAAAATAGTATGGAGTTTCCTCAAAAAATTAAAAATAGAACTACCATATGATCTAGAAATGCTGTATTTATCTGAAGAAAAGAAAAACATAAATTCCAAAAGAAAAATGTGCTTCTGTGTTCACTGAAACATTATTCACAATAGCCAAGATATAGAACAAACTTAGTGTCCATCAGTGGATAAATGGGTAAAGAAGATATATATATATATATATATATATATCTTGTATATATACAATGGATATGTATCTTGTGTATATATACAATGGAATGTTATTCAGCCATTTAAAATACCAGAATCTTTCCATTTTTCAACAATATGAATGGGCCCTGAGAGCATTATGCCAAGTCAATAATAAGTGAGACAGAGAAAGACATTCTGTGATTTCACTTATATGCGAAATCTAAAAACAAAACCAAGGAACAAGTAACACAAAACTCATAGATACAGGGGGCAGACTGGTTGTTGCCTGAGAGGAGGAGAATAAGGAAGTAGGTGTAATGGGTGAAGGAGATCAAGAGGTACAAACTCCCAATTATAAAATAAATAAGTCATAGAGGTGTAAGTGCAGCATGGTGACTGTAGTCAATAATAGTGTGTTTCATATTTGTAAGATGCTAAGAGAATAGATCTTAAAAGTTCTCGTAAAAAAAAAAAAGATTCTGTAACTATGTGTGGTGATGAATGTTAATGAGCATTATTGTGGTGATCTTTTCACAACGTCTACAAAAATCAAATCATTATGTCATTCATCTGAAATTAATACAATGTTAAACATCAATTATACTTCAATATAAAAACAAAGAGCTAAATAGAGAGAATCTAGTATCTTTTCTCCTAAAGAAGAAAAATTGTGATAGCATATGGCCTCGGTGTGTTAATTAACCCAATTGTTGTAATCACTTCACAAAGCACACACATGTCAAATCATCATGTAGTATGATTTAAAATAAACAATTTTAGAGGGGCCTGACTGGCTCAGCCAGTTGAGTGTCTGACTCTTAGGTTTGGCTCAGGTCATGATCTCATGGTTTATGAATTCAAACCTCACGTTGGGCTCTGCACTAACAAGGCAAAGCCTACTTGGGATTCTCTTTCTCTCTCTCTCTCACTCTCTGCCCCTCTCCTGCTTGTTCTCTTTCTTTCTCAAAATAAACTTAAAAACTATAAATAAATAAAATACACAATTTTATTCATCAGTTATATCTCAATAAAGCTGAAAATTAAGAAGAAAAGAAAAAGAAGTGCTCACTCCAGCAACACATACTAAAATTGGAATGATACGAAGATTAGCATGACCCCTGAACAAGGCTGACACATAAATTCATGGAGCATTCAATATTTTTTAAATAAGTCATGGGATATAATGTAAGAATGGTGACTATAGTTAATAATAATGTATTGTATATTTGCAGGTTGCTAAGAGAGTAAATCTTAAAAGTTCTTATCATAAGAAAAAATATCGTGTAACTTTCTGTGATAATGGATGTTAACTAGACTCATTGTGTTGATAATTTCACAATATATTAAAATATCAAATCATTATATTGTACACTTGAAACTAATATAACATTATGTGTCAGTTATGTCTCAATATAAATAAGAATATGGTCTCATAAAGCTAAAACCCAGAGCATAAAGCTGACCTCAGTAAATCAGTCTCCATGCATGTAATCAAAATCATAAGCTACTGCCAGCTCCTGCTTTTCTCACTCATATCCACTCATTTCTATGCACATCAAAAATACACACCAAGTCAGGAGCCAGTGATAAAAGGAAATTAAGGTCCTGTCTCAGGTTACGAGCATGAGTCAGAATGAACTGGGCTCTAGCCCTAACCCTGATACCTCACCAATGAGTTCCTGGACTTGTCTAAATTCAATTTTCTCAGCCAGCAAGTGAAAAGAAAAGTTTCCATCTCAGTGTAGTGAGGATTATTTTAGGTGAGCCCTTGAAAAACTTCACATAGAACTTGGCACGTTAATTACCAGTTCTCCTTAAATGATAGCCATTAAGCATACTTACATTATTACTTCTAATAAAGAAGTAAACTTAGATTCACACCAATGACTTTTATTTAAAATTATTTGCAAAGTTGATGTGGAAGAAGAGTTTGTGAAGATGGGTAGGTGGTTCTTTAAATATCTTTCTTTACATTTTTAAGAATTACTTATTCTATTAAAATACCTTTGATTCTACTTATGCCCATAAAAGGACAACAAAGCTGATCACACTCTCAACTAAGAGGCCAGAGTCAGTTGGAGCACAGTTTGAGTCACCTTGGGGGGAGCCACACTCACTGCCCACTGCAGCCACTCAGCACCTGTAGACACTCTCTTACAGCTACCACCACCTGGCCTGGCGTTCGGGGACCCAAAAAACCCAGTGGCATCTGTAGTCATGATGTGGAAACAAAATACTATTTGGGCTCTTTTTCAAACAAAGGGAGCATGTATTCTTCTCCGTGTTCTTCCTTCCTAGAGTTCCTTCTTTCCTCCATTTTCTTTCGAGATTTCATCTCCATCCTCAGGCATTCTCTTTCATTTCTCTCCTTTCTGCTCTCAGGTCCCTGAAACAGAAAGGTCAGAAAAGGGTAGAAATGTACTAATAGCTGATAACATGCCACATTTCTCCTAACTATCAGAGATGAAGAAAGCCCTGATCATGTAGTAGACTTCCACATCTTAGTTTCTCATGATAAATTAGCATAAGTCTAAGCGTGTTGCCAAAAGTTTTAGTCATAAATAAAGAGAATGAGCCTAGGGTGTCAACAGACAGTCTGTGGAGGAAACTCAAGCTGTACACAACCCCGAGTCTGCCTCTGACACGTAGACAGATGTGATTCACAGTACGATATAATTAATAGTCTTCTGGTGCTTTTCTGAAGAGGAATATGGCAAGTGAATTATATATGGACTGATTCTAACCTCCCAGCGTCCAATTCTTTAAATTACATTAAAAGTGGGGTTTGCATTAGTTTTAATATGTGAAATGGAGCGTTGAGGAGTGACATCCAACCACATTATCATTCCCCAAAAGATTGCCTATGGGGGCACATTCACTGATTCATTGAATGCATAAGATCAGGAGATAAAGCACTTACTAAAGAAACCCTACTTCTTCAATATTACACCTAGGTGGACAGTGACAGGCAATGGATAAGCCTAAAAGGAAACAATGTAACAGATAGCAATAAGTACAAAGATGATGAGCAAACAGAGTGATATGATAGGGAAGTATGGGGGCAGGGAGGAAGATGTTTCTTCAGCTTCCATGATCAAGGAGTGTCTTTCAAAGGAATTACTGACTAAAGAATGGCACTGATAAATGTGGTTATGGTGTCTACTTACACTTCTATTTCTAAGAAAAAAACAAATAACATCATTACTCTCTCCCCTCCTCCATTTGAACTGGAAATGCTGGGGAACGCCTGAGTGTCTATCAAGTGAAAATACACTGTGATGAGTGGCAGTCAGAAGAGCAAGATCATGCATGACTCAACCCTGCAGACTGAGTTATGAGGGTGTCTGGTTACTGCGGTGGCATCAGCTACTCTTCCGTGCTGAATTGTTTTCATACCTAGATTGCTTCATTTCTAACTATAATGGTGCAGTGGTCAAAGTCACAAAGCAAAACAAATGATGAAGCTGAGATACAGGTTAGGAGAAACCTAAAAATTGTACTAGCTCTGTAAATGTGCCTCCAGATTATGTTCATCAGTCCCGGCAGCTATATTACATCCATCAGGCTGATCAGAGTTCAATTAAGCAGTCACGAATGTCTCTAATACTTATAAAAGCAGTACAAAAAAGGAGAAAATATAGTGAGGATTATTTTCAATTTGGCTTTTCCTTTATGGAGAATAGAGATTAGCTGAGCAATGCTCATAAATAATGAACTGAAATCTGTTTTCTTATCTCATTTAGAAACAAAATGTAGGGGCACCTCGGTGGCTCAGTCTTAAGCATCCAACTTCACCTCAGATCATTATCTCATGGTTTGTGAGTTTGAGCTCCGCATCGGGCTCTGTGCTGACAGCTCAGGGCCTGGAGACTGCTTTGGATTCTGTGTCTCATTCTCTCTCTGCCTCTCCCCCAATTGTGCTCTGTCTCTGTCTCTCAAAAATAAATAAGTGTAAAAAAGAAATTTTTAAAAAAATAAAAAAGACACAAAATGTAAAAATCATCGAAATAAGCCAATTGAGTTTTTGAATATCAGAATGAAAGAACTTAATTTTATTGGTCATGATTAGGTTACAAAATTAGTTTGTGGCTCTTTTTGATGCTAAAGGATATAAAATTTTAATCTACATGCTACTATACATTGTGGGTATTGGGGCACCTAGGTGGCTCAGTTGGTTAAGCTTGGTTTCAGCTCAGATCATGATCTCACAGTTTGGAGTCCAAGCCCTGCATTGGGCCCTGCACTGACAGTGAAGAGCCTGCTTGGGATCTTCTCCCTTTCCCCCTCCCTTTGACCCTTTCCTGCTCACATGCACACACTCTTTCTCTCAAAATAAATAAATAAATAAACTTTTTAAGATTGATATAAAATAAAATATTTAATTTAATAAAAGTATTTATCCTATATATTTATCATATAATATGAAAAAATAAGTTTTTTGTAAAAATAAGGATTTTGTAAACCTTTAGCAGGTTTCTAGCTATTATATATAACTGTGAAAAGAGTTCTTAAGTCAAGAAATTGAAAATGCTGTCTTGATTGCCTCCATATTCAAAAGGAAGAACTTGGGAAATGAGATATTAGCAAGTATTTTAGGGATAATATGATGAGTATCTTTTTAAATAGGAGAACTGATTTCATGCTTGCACACTGTTGGGACTTAAGATATTAGCAAATGATATCACATAAGTAGTTATATAAGATGTGGATTCTGAGGACATCAGAATCAACAAAGAACTGTTAAGATTAAAATGTTTTCAAAATATACTGTAACTTGCTCCAGAAAAAAGTTGAGGCTGATATGTCTCCTGAATTAATATAATGAATTACTTTAACATGTAATTTTAAAACAAGAATTCTTTTACTTCTGCTTCACTCCTGCTGAAAGCTTATAATCTAAATCTAGCCATGATGAAATACCAGATAAACCCAAATTAAGTATCATTCTAAAAAGACATCTAAAAAAAGATACCAGTATTCTTCAGATGTCAGGGTCAGGAAAGACAAGGAAAGACTGAGGAACTGTTCAGGATAAAATCAATTCGGGAAATGTGAAAATTGGTTGCAATACATAACTGGAATTTCACTGTAGAGAATATAATGTGGTAACTGACAAAATATGAACAAGGTCAAGAAATTAGATATAAAAGTATTGTATTGGTGTTAATTTCCCGAGTTTAACTATTATACTGTGTTTTTCTAAGAGAATGTTCTCCTGCCCTTGTTTGGGAGTTGGGAAAGGGAGAAAGATACAAGTAAATATAACATATTAACATTTGGCAGGAATCTAAATGAAGAGTGCGTTTTTTGCACTATTCTTGCAACACTGTTCTAACTCTGAAACCATATCTTTTTTAAAAACTGATATAAAGAAAAGACAAAACAGGAACTCTTAATAAGATTTAGGTATGATAAGTGACAGTTGCTCACTATTCTTCCTTCCTTGCTCTTCTTACGATCAGGTGGAGAGAGCAGCCTACTGAAGGACAATCACATCCAGGGTCACTCTCTGGTAAAAGTGAGGTGCTAGCTACAAGGCAAAGATGCTCGGTAACAGTCCCAACATCCAACACTGCTAAGCAGAAAGCATTGTGTTCAGATGGACAATGAGGTAAGAAGCAGGCACATGTCTTCCTGTGTACATTAACAGAACATGGCTCAAGAACCAGATAGCAATATGCCTAGTCGCTTATTTTTTCTGCCTACTGCATGGCAGAGACATACTATTCCTGCTCTGCAAAATAAAACAAACGAAGAAAAAACAGAAAAAGAAGTTATTTTGCTGAAGGCCACTCAGCAAACATGTTGCATAGTTCAAAACTATCTCCAAATTAATTGGTCTCCAGTTTATTACTTTATGTATCAAGTTTGGCATTGTCAATTTGGAGTTTCTACTCTACCCCTATTTCATGCCTATCCTTCCTTTGTGCTTTATGTAGACTCCCACGAGGCCACTGTGAATGCCTGGACAGCTCCTACTCCTGGACACCCACTAGACAGTGTTCAGAGAATTCCTTCTGCATGCTTTTTAGAAGTGCAGGGAACACACCACCATCATGCGCTATCTGCTACTGGATTAAATATGAAAGGATAGAACAGTTGGGGTAGTTTTTCTCTTCTTCAAACAGTGAAAGAAGGACAAGTCACAATTACTTATAAGAGTGACAAAAATAGTCTCAAAGAACCAGAGGACCTCAACAACAAACACATTCCACCTATAGTCCTCCAGGAATTCTTCTCATACCAGACATCTCCAATAAAAATAACTTAAAATTTATATGCATCTGGGCTATCTAATCGTTTGTCAAAGACCTCATCACTAAGCTGTAAAAGAAGAAGTTAGAGCTGTTCTCCTCAAACCTGGGGAGGATGAACCCTTTGGGTTTCCTTTTCTAAAGTGGTTAAATATTCAATAATTCTGTTACATACCAAAGAGACAGAGCGTCTGGTTCTAAAGCACAGTTGCTCTTCAAAGGACTCTGAAAATGCTTGAATTTTGGAATGGGATCTTCCTTTTGATTCCAGTGGCTCCCTGAATGAGTCATCCGCTGAACATTTTCTGTAACCCCGCATGTGGGTATGGCATCGAAATCCCTGGTCCTCATGAGAATGCCTTCTGGGATGGCTGTCAGATGATGTGATTCTGGGAAGCACAGGAAACTGGAAACACAGAAAAAAAAATTTACAATATAAAGAGTCTGTACAATATTAGCACAGGGACAGATTATCCACAAATTACCAACTAAACAAATCTCATGTTGAACTGAAATTTTATCTTTTTGATTAGCAAGACCTTCCTTCTACAATGAAGTAGAGTCAATTGATTAAAACATTAAGTAGAACACCCCAAGACTAACTTTGTTCATCCTCCACCATTAGGGCAATATAATGAAGCATTCCAAGCCTTAAATTGATATGTAAAAATAAATTCCAAAATTAAAAAAATTTAATGAAGCTATAAATGTTTAAGAAATAGTGCAAAGGTGAATAGTTGTGTGATTGCTATATTTTAGAAAGAATTTTAAGCAAAAGAGCAATGGAAAAAGTCAAAAGAAAAAAGCTAACTTAGCTACATAAAATAAATCTAATGTGCATCACAAGCAACATAACAAAATTAATGGTAGCTTTAAAATCTTTAAAAAGTGTCTTTTCATATCTTCTGCCCATTTCTTCACTGGACTATTTGTTTTTCAGGTGTGGAGTTTGGGTAGTTCCTTATAGATTTTGGATACTAGCCCTTTATCTGATATGTCATTTGCAACTATCTTTTCCCATTCCGTTGGTTGCCTATTAGTTTTATGGATTGTATCCTTAGCAATGCAGAAGCTTTTAATCTTGATGAGGTCCCAATAGTTCATTTTTGCTCTTGATTCCCTTGTCTTTGGGGATGTGTCAAGCAAGAAGTTGCTGCGGTGGAGGTCAAGGAGGTTGTTTCCTGCTTTCTCCTCTAGGGTTTTGATGGTTTCCTGTCTCACATTCAGGTCCTTTATCCATTTTGAGTTTATTTTTGTGTATGGTGTGAGAAAATGACCTAGTTTCATTCTTCTGCATGTTGCTGCCCAGTTCTCCCAGCACCATCTGTTAAACAGACTGTCTGTTTTCCATTGGATACTCTTTCCTGCTTTGTCAAAGATTAGTTGGCCATACATTTGTGGGTCCAATTCTGAGTTCTCTATTCTATTCCATTGGTCTATGTGTCTGTTTTTGTGCCAATACCATACTGTCTTGATGATTACAGCTTTGTAGTACATCCAGATGGCCAACAGACACATGAAACGATGCTCAGCATCCCTCCTCATCAGGGAAATACAAATCAAAACCACACTGAGATACCACCTCACGCCGGTCAGAGTCACTAAAATGAACAAATCAGGAGACTCTAGATGTTGGCGAGGATGTGGAGAAATGGGCACCCTCCTACACTGTTCATAGGAATGTAAACTGGTGCAGCCCCTCTGGAAAATAGTGTGGAGATTCCTCAAAAAATTAACAATATAACTCCCCTATGATCAAGCAGTAGCACTGCTAAGAATTTACCCAAGGAATACAGGAGTGCTGATGCATAGGAGCACATGTACCCCAATGTTCATAGCAGGACTCTCAACAATAACCAAATCATGGAAAAAGCCTAAGTGTCCATCAACTGATGAATGGATCAAGAAGATGTGGTTTATCTATACAATGGAATACTACATGACAATGAGAAAGAATGAAATCTGGCCATGTGTGGCAACATTGATGGAACTCGAGGGTGTTATGCTGAGTGAAATAAGTCAGGCAGAGAAGGACAAATACCATATGTTTGCACGTATAGGAGGATTAGGAGGAACTTAACAGAGGACCATAGGGGAGAAGAAGGGGAAAAATAGTTGCGGAAAGGGAGGGAGGCAAACCATGAGAGACTCTTGAAAACTAAGGGCTGATGGTGGTGGGGGAGAGGGGAAAGGGGGTGATGGGATTGGAGGAGGGCACTTTTGGGGATGAGCACTGGGTGTTATATGGAAACCAACTTGACAATAAACTATTAAAAACTAATAATTAAAAAATAAAATAAAATAATAAAAATTTTAAAAATAACATCTTTAAAAATATTTGCTACATTTTAGTAATGTTTAATAATAATATCCTGAAAAGAAATATCTCACATACATATAAACATACAAGTCATATAATACAATAATATCAGCATTAAAATCATAATCAGAAAACAGTCAAAGGACAGACAGTTCAGAGAAGCCAATCTTGAAAGAACTATTCTCTCAGGTTGTGTGGGTGGCTCAGTTGGCTAAGTGTTTGACTTTAGCTCAGGTCATGATCTCACAGTTTGTGAGTCTGAGTCCCCCCATTGGGCTCTCTGCTGTCAGCACAGGGCCCATTTTGGATCCTCTGTCTCCCTCTCTCTTTGCTCCTCCCCTGCTCGTTTGCTCACTGTCTCTTAAAAATAAACATTGAAAAAAAAAGCTGTTCTCTCAATTTTTCTCACTTCCCAACCTACTTCAATCTAGCTTTTGCACTCAAGACTGATTTTGGTCAGGATATTGGTCTCAGTGTTGCTGAACTCTGTGCACTTTTGGTCTTTAATAAATTTGTAGCATTCAATCCAGTACCACATGTGCCCCTTGGCCGGAAATAATCTTTCCTTGTCTTCTACCACTGCAGCTAAAGGATGTTCTTTCTGCATTGTGTTTTAGACATGTTACTCCCTTCTCCCTCTAGTAGCTCACAACTATTGGAGTTCCTCTGGGTTCTAAACTAGTCTTTCTTTGCTTCTTATCATTTCTCACTTTACACTGTCTCCCTAAATATCTGACCCTCGGGCTTAAGTTCCTAGCTATACTCTTATTTCCTAATTTATATTGTTAGTGCAGACATCTCCTTTGAGTTTCTACCTCCTCAAGTTCCCTCATTGGTATCCCACTGGCACCCATCCTGACTTGTGCAAATCGGAACTCATGACCTCTCCTCCCCAAACCTACTCCTCATGTGTCAAGTTAGAAGATGGCACTGCCATGCACTCAGTCACTCAGAACAGTAACTCAGGAGCCACTCTTCACATTCAATTGCCACGTCAGCAGATTCCTCCTCTCAAATGTCTCTAAAAACTATCCATGCTTTTCCAGCACCACTGTTACTATCATAATTCAAGGCACCCAGATTATCTTTCAACCAGGTTACAGATGCAGCCTCCTCATAGTGGATGTCCTATATCTGCTCACTCATTTATTTTGTTGTTCCCACAGCAGAAAGAGTGGTGAGAACCACCACCAAGTCATAACTGATCACTTTTCGTTTTGCACCTCATCTTGGACCACCTGCCCTTTAAGTGACAGCCCCACTAGTTAGTCACTTCTTCCAGCTTACCTACTCCTACCCAGCACAGGCACCTTTACAGGCGGTCTTCTGTGCTCATGACCACCCACTGCTCCACTCCATTGCCTCGGGTAATGGTTAATCATACTCAGTCAGTCTGCACTTCCACAGAAATCCTTCCTGACTGTCTGGTTGGTCCCGATCCCAGTTAGATGCCCTCCTGGGATTTCGTACTTCTCCTTTACGATACTCATCACAACTATACTCAATATTTGGGGTAATTTTGTTACACATCTCCCTTCTCCATTAAACTATATGGTCCATCACATCTAGGTCCATGTTTCATTCTCTGCTAGAATCCTAGTATGCAGGACTTTGCCTTATTCACAGCATGAATTCATTAAATACATACTAGATAAGGGGCACCTGGCTGGCTCAGTTGGAAGAGCATGTGACTCTTGATCTCAGGGTTGTGAGTTTGAGTCCCATGTTGGGTGTACATATTACCTTTTTTAAAATATTAAAAATGAATAAATGTACAGAGAATGAAAGAAAAAGAAATACCCAAATGCCAACTAGTAAAAATTATTTATGCTTATGGAAAATGAAATAATATACAATCTTGCCTTTCAGTTTAGAAAAAACAAATGTTACTTAATGGTACCAATACTGGCAAGAGTGCAGAGAGATAGCCTGGTGGGACCACCAATGTGCATGGTCTTCCCAGAAAGCTGTTGGCAATATGTGTCTGGGGACTTATAATATCCCCCTCCTTGGATCCATCCATTGCATGTTGTTATTTGCTGTATTGTGTCCCCCTACCCCCAAATTCATATGAAGCCTTATGTGAGTAGCTCAGAATATGACTATATTTGGAGATAGAGCCTTTAAAGATTAAGTTGAAGTGAGACCATTATGGTGGGTCCCATTTCAGTCTGTCCAGTGCCATTATAAGAAAAAGAAATTTGGACACACAGAGGGACACCAGGGATAGGCTTACCCAGAGGAAGGATAGTGAAGGTGAAGACACAGCAAGAAAGTGGCCATCCGCATGCTGAGAAGAGAGGCCTCGGAAGAAACCAAACCTGCTCACACTTTTATCTCAGACTAACTTCCAGAACTGTTGAGAAAATAAATTTCTGCTGTGTAAGTCACCCAGCGTGTGGTGCTTTGTTATGGCGGCCCAAAAATCTAACACCCATGTCTAGAAATTTTCTCTCAAAAACTAATAAAAAATTTGGTTAAAGATTTGTAAAGCTACTAAGACATGAGGTAAATTTGGATATATTATTCCATTTATTATGGGTAAGACATGGTACTTGGTGCTTTGAGTAAGTTGGGGAGCCAAATAAGCAAAGCGTCCCCTCTTGGAGATCATGTCTGCACGGGAGATGGACGCTAAACAAATAGGGCGTATGCCTACAGCCGTGGCCAAATGCTGTAAAGGAAAAGTCCAAGGTTCCCTGAGAGGATGTAACTGGGTAAAATTATGTAAGTTTGGGTAGGTATTAGAGCGGCCAGGAGGATCAGGGAGACTTTCGTGAAGGTGTGATGATTAAGATACAATCTGAAGGGGGCGCCTGGGTGGCTTAGTCGGTTAAGCGTCCGACTTTCGCTTGGGTCATGATCTCTCAGTTCGTGGGTTCGAGCCCCGCGTCGGGCTCTGTGCTGACTGCCAGCTCAGAGCCTGGAGCCTATTTCAGAGTCTGTGTCTCCCTCTCTCTCTCTGCCCCTCCCCTGCTCACGCTGTCTCTCTCTCTCCTAGAAATAAATAAAAAATATTTAAAAAAAAAAACATTTATAAAAAAAAAAGAAAAAAGATACAATCTGAAGGATGAGCAGCGTTAATT